TCAAAGACTTTTCATCTAATGAATCTATCTAACATTCCTGAATATAGCCTAACCTACAAACTGTAACAGTGTCAGGTTATTCATAGTCATTTGTCTTTGATGCAGGATATTAATTTAGTTGCTAGTGAGAGATTTTGAGGGAACAGTAAGCCTCTCCTTTTTGCCAGTTTTTAATGCTGTAAATTTGTTTTATGTCAATTAGGACCTTCTAAAAGGTAAATTCTGGGAGAAGTAATGGCATAATAAAAGTCTATATAGTGATACACTGGACACAATTAAACACTAACCCAAGAAAGCCTCAAAACTACGGCAGCCTTATCTTCTTGATCAAAACCAGCAGTAACTCCATAAAAAGTCCAACATTAACCTCTTTCCTTTCTTCCTCTACGCGTGAGACAAAGGGGGAGCTGCCTCTATGACAGTCTTAAGGCTTCACTGGGCAAACCACAGTGCTCAGGCTTTCTGTTGTTATTCTTTAGAGGAGAACAGACACTATCAATGTCTGCTGCACAGCTTGCTGACCCTGCAGACAGCCAGGTCTGAGGTCTCTCACAAACAGCTATTTGTTTTAATTTCAACAATCATTTTTCATCAGTCTCAGAGCTCAGATGTTAAAAGGTATCTGAGAATGGAAAACAATTCAGCCCTCAAGACATCTGAATTAATTTCTGCCTCTAAGCAGGGATATGCACAGTGCAAACTCTTCCATTCTTCCAAACTTGAAAGGTTTCACACACACACAAATCTTTTTGTGCTTTCAACAGCAAGAAGGAAAGGGGGGGAGGAGAGGTGACGCACACACAACGTATCTGAAAGTAAAACTTTTCCCAGCATGTCCTTAAAAACACATTCCAAGAGCAACACCTGTGTTTCTTTGTTTCTAAAAAGAGCTAAAACTGACTCCTACAAAACATGTACTTTGAAATTCCTCCCTTTACAGCTCACTGTTGTGAGGTGAGTCATTGGGGCATGTTGCTAACCGATAGAAAAGGTAATGTGCCATTAGGAACTGTTCCCATGTGCCCTGCCTTGGGGAAGGTGCTAAACTTGACATAACTTTATAGCAACAAAAACAAGAATAAAAAAAACCCCAACAGGTAATTTACGTCTAGAACTCTGATAGTGGCTGCATGGCCATGAGCCAACACGAGGTGTATTGAGAGCTGAGCAGTGTTCAGCAATGAACCATGTCTGAAATTACATAAAAACAACACTCTAAAGTGAAGAAAGAGCATTTCTGACTAAATGGTGGAAAAATGGCTGTCTTCTTTCCAAAGTACTTCTGAACCTAGACAAAAGACCATGAAAAAAATGGGTAATTAAAGATTGTTCACTCTACTCTTGTAGAAAATGAGGAAAAACAGCCTTTACTGAAAGAACCAGAATGCCCACATGACTACACTCTGAAGCACAGAGGAGGGCAGTGAAGGATGTGGAACTGTCTTGAGCTCCGGAAAAGGTGGACTGAATTGCCAAAGAAATTTATGACCAGGACTATTAGCTTCCTGTCTTTGATGTCTATTCTTGGCTTTCCAGGAGCATTATGGCATTCATGAGGTGAAAACATCACTGGAGCCAAGGTCAGCTAAGGCTGATGCAGCCTGCTCTACTGCAAAGCTGAGAAACTCACTCTGAACTGCTTCAAGCCTGAAGACATTCATTGAGGGCCTGAATTTACTTCCACTGAATCAGTAAGAGGGGCTTTTTTGTCAGCTTAATGTGTGATTGCATTTCTAAGCCAAAAAATGAATCAGAGATCAACCTCCCAGTACAACATGTTGTCAGGGAGAACACTCTTTATTTTGTCCAGCACAAATGTTTTCAAAGCATTAGCTACACCTTAATAACTCTCCACTGAAAAACCCCAGCAAAATACTTCCAATAATGCAGCGGCACATGGCTTAAGAACAAATTGAAAATAGCTCAACACGGTTTATTTTGAGAAATGAATTAATATAACTCTTTAATAAACTGAATTCTAGTCACAATCTTCCAAGGTGCTCTCAGTCACACTCAATCACAAGTTTTAGCAAAGACTGAATGTTTTCAGAGCTTACCTGGGTGTGGTCCTCAATGAAGCACACTAGGGCAGGAATTGGTAATTAACTGGTGATGGTGATAGTCACAGACAACTCAGAACACACAAAGTGTCCATAAACAAAAGTTTCAGAACTACCAGGGGCCCAGGACAAAGCACCTAGACATGTGAGTCCGAAGCTGTGGGTTTCAGGAAACTAAATCACAGACACTTTTGAAAGTTCTGCTTCATCCTTGTCACTTGCAGTAGAAGCCTGGGTCTTGAAGTTATGAGGGTAAAAAGGCAGGAAAACAGTCCACAGAATCCCCAGGAAGAGGATTCTGAGGTGAATCAGATATTAAACTGACCACTTAGTAATTTTAATAAATACTAAATTAGTAGAATTTGTCGAACTTTGACAAGCAGAGTATGATGTCACTGGTTCAATTTCAATTTAACAGGCACAACTGTAAGGTTTAGCAATAAATATGGCCTAAACAGCTAGCTTTTCTTAAATTCAAGCACATGGCAAATCTCCCTTTGGTTCAGCCATGGCCAGGATCATACCCTTTGGTCCCAAGTGAGCAAAGCACTTAGAAGCTGAAGTTGAGCATATTTTAAGTGTGTTCTGAAGTGCTGAGCTGAGTCAAGGGTCTCCTTGTGCTTCTCTGTAATACAGATGTATATTTGTAATACGGGCAATTTGTTGAAGCCAAAAATGTAGGTTTTGAAACCTCTTTTGAGAATCAATTATTATTATTTTGATTAGACATTCCCTTACAGAGTTCAGAGCCTAAACATTGTGGCATTGAGCTAATGCAGATGAACCAGAAAGGAAAAGTGCATTAGCCAGTAAAGAATCTCTCTGCTGAATAATCTAAACTCAAGGCAGCTTCTGATCTATGGTCCATGGAAGACTTGGGAACTATTAGCAAGAGGCCTGTGAAAGGCAGCTAAGAAGAGCAAGTTTATTTATGCTATGAAGGAATCTACTTATGTGAAATGTCTTAAATGATCTCCACACTTCCATGGGAAAAAATGCGTACGTTTGTGTGCATTGATTTGCAAACATTAAAGCCCATGAATCTAAAATGCTCTAAGGTGCAAAGAAGGTTCACCTTTCTTGGGAAGTGCTGGGATGCAGTTTTGGCTAAGCCCAGGTCAGCACCCCACCAACAGACAGCTCATAAAATCACTTCCTGAGGTCATGATTTAAAACCCTACACAGGGTTTTTTTAAAGGATCAGAATTAATATTTTTTAATTAAAAAGTGACCTTTCACTACATTTTTAATAGGTATCATAAAATGATATAATAAATAAACTGTCATAAGAATTTATTGTCCCAGCCAGATCTCCTGTCTTCTGGTGTGACTCAACTGTGCATGGCACAAGAAAAATGCATATCTATACAATTGTCTTGATTCCAAACTAGCCACTGTTTGAGCACTAAGCAAGTCACAACAAAAATAATTTCCAAAAAAGCTTATGCTTCAAATCATACCCTCTTTTCTGTACATATTTTAAAATTTTCCTTGCCTTTTCTTCCGTGGCAGAGTAGTCAAATGGGTAAAAGAAAGTCAAAATACTGAAAGGCCTATTTGCAAAACCAGAAGTAGATCAAAACCACTTTGGAAAGTACCTTAAAAAAATCCCAAACCTTAAGCATGGCCAGGGGCTAGACAAACTCAACTGCTTGGAAAAAAAAAACAAACCTTCAGAAACTAATCAGGAAGTCTTTTTTCCTCCCCAAGTCCATAGCAGTACGAATGCTGCTCCAGCCTGCTTCTGGCACTCATGGTATAGAGAGAATACCATTCTTCTCTGGTGCCCTCGAAATAAGGAGAATACGTAAGAAAACTGTCCACTGATCACTGCTGCTTTGGCTAAAGCACTTTTGTAGAAGTCACACGGGCCCAAACTGGGAAACGGGATGCTGGAAATCGACTTCCTGTACTGGAGCTGCCCTGACAGTCAGAAAGCTTTGTCCTCTGACTGCCTGGGACATAGGACAGTGTATCACAAGGGCAGCTGATGTGCCCTCCATATGCTAAGAATAAAGCTAAATATAAATGTCCAACAACAAATAAAAAGCAGCAGAAAGCAGATATAGAGAGTTTTGCTCTTCACTCCCAGGCATGGTTTCATGGTTTCACTCCCAAAGTGGTTTCTCAGAATTGGTAGTCTGGCATTTCAGGGCCTAGACGTTTTATAGAAATCAGGCTTCAAAGCTAGTTTTGAGATTAACTTTCAAGTCTGACTAGAACTGCTGCAACCAGAAATCTCTGCTTATGAAATCAGAATAGAATAAACCAAAATATTTCATGGACTCTTAGAACCGTAGTCATAGCTCTGTTTCCCCACTGACAATACTTTAATGGGTTTTCTTCAGTACATTTACAGTAAGTGCTGTTCATTTCCATTTGTTGACTAGAAAGTGCAAAGCTTTTCTTTGTCTGGTATAAAATAACCTGTCAGTAGCTAATCAACACAGATTCAGTTTTGCTCCTGGTAAAATAAATGGCAAAATTTCCGGGACACTGATGGCAGCAGCATTAAAGTCCACTCCAAACAGCATTTTAACACACGACTCCTGAAGGTAGTTCCTTGGGTGTTTAATTGTACACACATGGATAGTTAAATCTCACTGACTTCTATAGGACTCTTACATGTAAAAAATGCATTATTTACAGCATCAGGGTGATCATCACACAGACAATTCAATAACTGCATTTGTGTTGTTTAAGTAACTATTTGAATGTTGCACATGCCTGGAGAAAAAAGTGGGGCAAAAAGTCTATCACCATTCACAAAGTCATTTCTCCTCCCCTAAATACTGGTTCTAAAATGTATTTACAGCTGTTGACTTTCCCTGCATATTACTCCTGTCATAAAAAATATGTCTTCAAAACATCCTCTTCCTTAATTTTTAATCCTCCCAAAGCAAAAATAGATATTTTAATAGAAAAATACAAGATTAAAAATATCCTAAAAAATAAAATGGTAGCATGGAATGTCATTTTTACACAGAAAAAAAATCCCCTTTTGAATTGCATCAGCTATACAAACACTTTCATATTTACAGTTATGGATGCAGTCCTGTGCTCACTGAAGTTAATGGGATTTTGCCATTGACTTCACCGGGAACAGGAGCAGGACATGGACTACATCTGCCCCTCTGAAATGTCATGGCAGTGGACAGAAAAGAGTGTGACAAAGCACATATAAGACTGAGGAATAAACCAGTCCTCTCCAGAGACCTGATTGTCTTCTCTGTCACTACTTCACACGTGTGAAACTCTTCATCCTTCGCTGGAGGTTTTCCTAAGTCCAACCAGCTAAGAGGGGGAAACAGTGCTTTTGACTGTGATGCCACACAAACAAGGAAAGAATGGTTCGTGTGTTTCCACCTGCCTGACTTTCTCAGTGGAACTAATTACAACCAAGTGCCAGTTCCCTCCCAGAACTAAGGCCCGTACACCAAATTTCATATCCCCTGTTATCAGTGTCAGTGATTCAGTGATGCAGGATCGTACCCCAAATGAATCCCTTTTTTCCTTTTGACAGCAACCAGCACCTGTGCCTCTGAAACCATATTTGATACCCATGGGTGAGATGCAAACATGGAAGGAGGTGGTAGAAGCTAAAAAAAAAAGAAAAAAGGAACAAAAAGAGGCTTTCCTCATCAACTAAACCAAGATCTGCTAGCCTTAATACATGCCTTAGGAAATACTGTCTTTACATATTAAGTACATCCTATAACATCAAACTGCATAATTTTCTTTTCTCATGAGATGAAAGGCCATGTGGCATAATGTGATTAGTAAATCATTCCTGAGCTTCTGAAAGAAATTAAGACAAAATTACTGCTTAAAAGAGTGAGTTCTTCAAGAGCCTCTTCTTTTTACACTGATGTCTTTGGTTGTGTCCTTCTCTCTAATTTTTTCTTTTCCCTAGGAAGAATGGGATTCTTTTTAATCTTCTTCTTTATGCAGCAGAAAAATGAGATCTAATGGAGTCTTCACGTAACTGCCGATGCTTCCCCATGTTACAGTCCTCCGGTCGAGTTCGTCTCTCAATAGTTATTCTGTATTTCTTTCTGCATGAAAGGAGAGGAATAGAATGAGAAATCCTTCTCCAGCTACAGGCTAACAGACTTCCCTTTTGAGAATGCCTGTAGGGGACAGCTGGGTGCCATTTAAAAAATGAAACGTGGCAGAATGTGAAACCCCGGTCAAAGATTAAAGTAGTTTGCCTCAGAACATTTTACCCGGGCTCAAGAATGCCTGTTAATTTCTACATGGCAGTCTCAAAGCACTAAGGCACGGACATTTGCTTCTTTGAAAATTTCTGATCCAAGTGATTAGGAGTTTTTGTGAAGTGTCATGTGAACTGTGTCACATCACTGCTTTATATTGATCAAAGCCAAATTTCTTTTCAGTATGCTGGGTCGGGGGGAACTTTCTGGAGAGTTCAAACAACAGATCTGACTATTCAGCTGCGTTTCTCACTGAAACCATGTATTAACTAGCTAATCTTCCCATTTCCCTCTGAGAAAGCTACTATGTTTGTAATGTCAGAGGAGGTAACATGATGAATTAAGAAGAGGGATGTAGAAGGCAGATAAGAAATAAACATAAATGCTCATGTATCAGACACAGCTCTTCCTGTGTGTCTTCCTCTAGGGCCTTTTGAAGAATTCTGCGTTACTTTGTATGTCAAACAAACCCTCTGACTGCCTTTTAGCTTCCCCTTTAAAACTCAAATTTCCCCCCAAAAATCATCAGATGATTCACATTTACATTTATGCTTCTACTCAGTTTCAGGAGAAATTTTTCAGAAGGGCATTAGTCCAGCTCCATGTGCATGTACTGCTCGTGGAGGTGGCAAAAACCTTGTATGCCAAGGAAAGCCCTGTTCCACCAGCACAGTTGGCAGGAGTCACAGCTAGGTACACAGCATTGGAAGAATGATTTCTGCACCACCAAGGTTTTGATTCAAGCAACATGGCTGAATAGAAAATGGCATCTTAAAATTTCTGGAAATATTCCCTCAATACTTGTATTAGTAAGCTCCAAAATAACTTGAAAAGCCTGTGTTGTTTACTTTCTTCATGTATTTTCAAGTCAGACTCTTCCATGGGTCAGAGCATGCACTGTTGTAGCTCTTGCACAAGGACAGGTCCAGATTTTAGATATATAGGTGTTTAAGTTAAAATTTGGATTTTAGATATACAGGTGTTTAAGTTAAAAATCCAGTCAAAGCTACATATCAGAATTACTCCCCAGACCTTTTAACTGTTTTCCTGCCTACTCAAAACTGTATTTCCATACTTGTTTGTGACAATTACAGATCCAAATGAAAGGTAATCAGAAGGGTAAATTTACAATTTACAAGGTACAGAAGCTGCAAGTACAAATTACTTCCAGGCACATAATTGCTAAACCTACATTTTCTGAAAATCTGACCCACACACCCTCATTTGTCAGGTTTCAGATATTTATTCTAATGGTAGAATAAGGAAGTTGTCCCTGCTCTTGCTTTTAGCAATTGCAGTGGGATCTCCAGAGAGAAATTCACCCACAGATCTTTAGACATCGCCAACACAGATCCATCTGGCAGCACCTGCAGCTTTCTTCAGTAAACTGAGAAACAGGCACTTCTCAGAGGCGTGGTTTAGCTTTTACGTGAAGATGACAAGAACTGCACAGAAGAAAAGTGCTTATTTCTCCCCTCTGACCATACACAAAAAGATTGGGTGTTGACCTCAGGTGTTCTACATCTACTTTTACAGACACCCACCTTTGTTCACATGGATTTCCAAATCTTTGTCTCAGATGACTAGGAGTTCAAGTTCTGTTCTTACAATGATACTTTGCATAGCTTTATATCAGCCCAGGATATTTGTTGTTTCATTTCTTGTCCTTACATACCAATTCCCTCCCAACATCAGCAGTGCCACTACCCACATCTAACAACTGTCATCTCTGGTTGAGAATCTACGTAAGATGCAAGAACCTCTGATGACATAAAATATAAAGACAGATTTTTATTCGCTTTTTCTTTTAAAGATAGTCTTTATCCAGTCCAAGCCAACTTAACCTCAAACCCAAATAACATACTATATAAAGCAATGAACACATCCAAGAATAAAATCACCCTGTAGAATTTCATTTGTAAGTACCTGATGAATAAGCTTGGTTCTTTGAAACCCTGAAAGTGTCCTGGTGAATTGAAGCAGACTTTGCCTGTTTTCATTTTTTATAAACAGTTATTCTTTTTGTTGGATAGAATTATTTGATTATTGTATGCAGAAGTTAATTCTATTCTCCTATCTGGCTTTTCCAGAGCAGGAGGATAAATTACTGTATACATAAGGTGCTGAACATGTATAACTAATTTATTCCATCAGTATAAGATTAATTATCAAGACTTTAAATTTGCTGACTAGCAGTGGAAGAATTATTTTACTTAAACACGAATAAAACACTGATCACCCTGCACTGACCTGAGCTTATTAAGTTAAATGCACAGCTTTGGAATCCAAATGCTCTCTTACACCAAAACAGAAATCTCTTTCTGTTCTGCAGTACAATTCCATTCAATACCAGGCAAATGATATAAATCTCTTGCAGATCACAGCCTGCACAACTGTGCTGGCAAGGAGCACCAAACAAAGGAAGCTTTCAAGGCCAGGGCATTTTACTAAAGCAACTGTGAATGTCTGGAACTCACTGGAATTACTTCCATGAGTAACATTACTTTGAGATGTAAGTAGTTAGAGGATGAAGACCCAAGTCAATAAAATTATTTGGATAAACACAAAAGGACAATCAAAGCGTGTTCCCTGTCTCTGGTGAAAATGTTACCACACATTATTATGGTGCCTCTCTGTCTCCCACCAAGGATGTTCTGCCAGGAGCTGAGAAGTTTGGATGACGAATAAAAAGTTTACAGAACTTTCAATGAATTGGACTAACCTGAAGAAGTAAAAAGCCATTAACAATCCTGCTCCAAGCAAGGCGCCCACAACTATTCCTGTAACTGCTGATTCTCCTAGACCACCTGCTTGAAAAGGGGAAAAATAAACAATCAGGGTTTATATTGAGAATTATCTGCATTCATGTATTGGAAAATACACACAATTAGGAAATTAGTGATCAGCATTAGATAATGATTAAAGTCGTTCAGAGCTCGGGACTCCATGGGAACCTGCTCCAGTGTCTGCATGTTTGCTTTTTTTCCTTGCTTTCCTTGGGGTTGAAAAATCTCCCAACTCAGTGTCAGATGAAGGCACAATTCTGGAGATGTGATCCAAGCAAATGTGGTTAGGAAACTGTCTTGGACAGCTTGGTTTGAATCCTAACACTGACTAGGGACATACACAATGGAAATCAGCACTGAATATGCCTTGAGTCGCTGTAGCAGAAACAAACTCATCTTACCTAGATTAGAATCATAACCCTCTATCACCCAGGTTTATTACAATTACTATGATTATCCAAGAGTTCCTCCATTTTTTCTTATTTCCTGAAGATACATTGTTTCAAGTTAAAGCCATATGACTTCGGACTTGCTTCAAATCTCAACAGAGTCAGAACAGGGACAGAATGGCTGAAGAGGAGCCCGAACAGGGACTGTCTCTGGAAAGAACAATGGTATTTTTATGTGCATGTAGCCTACTCCCATTTGTATTCCCACCTGGATTTGTGGAGAGGAGCAGAGAAGGAAATTAAACTGCTCCCTTCTCTTCCTTCATCCCTGACTCTTCGAGGGGAGTCTGTCTGTACAGAAGGAAGAAGGTGCACAGCTACACCATATTGACCACAGATGGGCTGTGTACACACCAGTTTTTGAAGGACTCAAGAATTATTGGGCCGAAGTTAGCTTTTCACTGCAGGACTAGCAATTTGTCTCCTGTGAAAATTTGTCACTGAGGCACCAATATTCTCCTACCCCAACCTTGCAATATCCTACTCACTACAATACAGTCTGCAATGTCAGTGTGCTGGAAAGAATGGACATCTGCCCTGTGGAGGATAGTCCCAGACTTCTGAATTCACAGATGTCACCCCATTCAACTGTTTTCACTTCTTCTCAGCCTACTGAGCCCCTCACAGCGCCTTCTCATAGCACTGAAAATCATTCTTTACTGGGAGAACGCCGCTCCCACCGGCACAGCTGCTAATTATCAGAGGTGATTATTCTCTGCTGGGGTTTCAGTTACATCCCTCTTTCTGGCTAAAAGACCCCTGTTAGGACCTAAAGCCTCCAGGGCTCTGGCCAATGCACGATTACTGTTACATTTAAGTTCAGGGAAATGATTCAGACCATGGCTGCCAGACCTTAACCTCCCAGCAGTCAGAAGAGAGAGACATTCACCATGTCTCAACTGGACAGCTGTACTAAACAATTTAACATGGCCCATTACATTGCAGCAACTCATGGATTCTTCTCTTTGGAGCTGGGCAGAAGCATTAAGTCACTAAACTTACATGATTTACACGGTGTATTGTTTGTGTGCTCTGAAACTCGGCTGTCATCTAGCCGCAGCCTGCCGTGGTTCCACGGGTATTTCACATTCGATCGGATTTCAAACCGCCCCTGCTTTCCATAGTAGTCCCCGATCACCTATGCAAAACAAGAAAGGGATGGAAAGATTTTCCTGTCAACTTAGAGAAGTGAAACAAACAGGAGAGAAGCATCGATCACTCGAGTCCTGCGGCATGATGTTGAGTCACAGAGAAGAGGGCTGAAGGGGTCTGTGGAGGCTATGTAGTGCATGCCCTACCCTAAGGCAGAATCAGCTGAACAAAAGCATTCCTGACAGATGTTTATCTAATCTGTTCATGAAAACCTTCAAAGATGGAGACTTGACAACTTCTGCACTTATTATTCTGGAACATAGCTAGCTTTACTGTCAGTTGTTTTCCCTAGCATGTAAAATAAAATTCATTTTTTGCAATTATCCATCACTTGTTACGAAATTGTCAGTGGTCATAGAAACTCTTCCTTTCTCAAACACTGCTTTACATATTCACAGGCTCTTACATGATTCTGCCCTCAGGCTTCCCGTCTATATAAATCCAGTTTACACAAGATTTTTAACTATTCTGAATATTCTTCCTACTCTCCCTGGGCTTTTATTGCCCATAGTGAGTTGAGAGCTCAGGATTGTCACCCTGCAAAGTGAAAGCATCAGTAGCTAGACACGAGTCCAGACTGGGCATGAACAGCCCCAGAGCAGCCCTGCCCAGAAGGGCTTGGGGGTGCTGTGGGGGAGAGGCTGGACATGCCCTGGCCATGGCACTCCCAGCCCAGAGAGCCAAACGTGTCCTGGGCTGCATCCAGAGCCCCGTGGGCAGCAGGGCAGGGAGGGGATTCTGCCCCTCTGCTCTGCTGAGACCCACCTGGAGCACTGCATCCAGAGCTGGGGTCCCTGCACAGGAGGGACAGGGACCTGCTGGAGTGAGCCCAGAGCAGGGACACAAAGATGGTCACAGGGATGGAGGATCTCTGCTGTGAGGAAAGGCTGAGAGAGCTGGAATTGTTCAACCTCGAAAAGCGAAGGCTCTGGGGAGATCTCACTGAAGCCTTTCAGTACTTCAGGAGGGCTTACAAAATAGGGGGTGAACAACTTTATCACAGGCAGGTAGTGACAGAACAAGGGCACAGATTTAAACTAAAAGAGGATAGATTTAGATTAGATGTTAGGCAGAAATTCTTTGCTCTGAGGGTGGTGAGGCCACTGGCACACCACCAGAAAGAAGCTGTGGATATAGCTTCAACATCCCTGGAAATGTTCAAGGCAAGGCTGGATGGAGCTCAGAGCAGTCTGGTCCAGTGGAAGGAGTCCCTGTCCATGGCAGGGGAATTGGAAATAGATGATCTTTAAGGCCTCTCCCAATCTAACCCCTTCTCTGGTTCCAAGAATTCAAGCACTTTGCATGCACACTCCAGGCTGGAGTTTCTCTTTTGGTAGAATTCGGAGATACTTCATCATATTAAGTTAAAACCTTCAAATCTTGTATTTCTGCAGTTGTTGATATTTACATATACATTATTCTGGTAGTACAGTTCTATTTTTCCTTACCAATTCATAAAAGCACTTCAAAATTTCAGCCCTGTCTTCAGCAGTTTCAGGCTTTATTCAAGAGAAACTATGTTAAATCTACTGCAGAAATATATCTAAAAATATCTATGTACAGCAGCAAGACAACATACTGTGACACTGAAATTGTCAGAAGCAATGGCAGAAGCACATCAAGAGATCTGTTTGTCCTACCACAGATAAAACCCAGGTATTAATACACTAGGTTTAGAATTCAAGGCATGGATAGCCTCTTCATATCTTTCACCTGAATTGCATTTTGAAGGCAATGACATTAAAGAACATGTGCTGGTTAAATACACAAATGTATATTTTACATTAAATAAAGACACATTTCTCTCACAGTTGCAGCTGGGATATAAATCCTTTGAAGAATTAATGTGCTCAACATTTGTCCAAAAAATTAAGGCAAATTCAGTAAACTGGAAAAAGTAGAAACCACTCACAGGCATCAGATTATTTATTAAGAGATTGTTTAATTTATCAAGTGGGAGTGGGTGAGTCCTCCACCAGCAAGAATTACTAAATACGAAAATATGCAAAATGGTTTAAGAACAAAAAGCTATAAGCAGGAACCACGTGGATTCAGATCAGAAGTAGGATATAGATTTTTGAAAAGCAGGAGTGGCTCATCTGTGGAACAAACATTGAGGGCACCAGCAAGGCAGTCTCTGTTCTTTTAGTGTCTCCAAACCAAGAATAAATGCCTCTTGCAGCATGAGCTTTAGTCACATGTAAATTGCAGGGCTCCATAAAGGTTAAGAACCCTGCCTGTGTCCAATATAGCAGAGGTCAAACTAGGAAATCTAGGTTTTCTTCTAGCTTTAAACTCTGTGAATAGACCTGGGAAAACAGCTCTGCCCAAACACCCATCCATCTGGCACAGTTCAGCTGAGAAACATTCTCGTACACAGAAAAAAATTGTCCAGATGAATAGAACAAGTTATCAAAGAAACAATGTTTTTAGAGTGAGGCATGAGGGTAGAAATTATGTGGCAGACAAAAGTGGTAAGTAATCATGTGTAAAATGTTAACTGCATGTATATTTATGTACCTAATAAAGCAGAGGGAAATTCCACAATAAGTTAAAAGAATAAATGTAACATTTAAAAAAACCGTAGTTTAAATTGCAAGTGAAAGAGCAATGGATGGAAGGGTAAAAGAGGGAAATTAAATTGATAAACAAGATAAAAAGCTGCTGGCCTGAATAAACAGAAGAAACACAAGTTGTTTTCACCAAAGTTGTCCCAACCATTTTGTACTCCTACTGCCCCTGGGAGTGCCTGCAGTTTACTGGTAGTAAAGTAGTTTTACAATCACTTTTTCGCCTAAAACACACAAGACATCCTCACACATTTAAAATGGCCCCTTGAATTTTTCTCTGCTGCAGAAGTACCAACAACAATGTAACCTCACTGGATTCAAAACCACACATTGAAATGTCCAGCTCAGATACTGCAACATTTTGTTTGAACCTGTTGAAAGGGGGAGAACCAGCAAAGCCGAGGCTGATGCTGATTTTGCAACCAACAAAAGCATGACACTGCAGCTGGACTTAGGGCACTGCATGTATTAATAAACTCAGCCTAGACTTGCTATTCCCTGTGTGCAGCTGGTGCTGTTTCTCACAGACTTTTTCACAGTCCATCTCTTCCACTCCTTCTGCGTCCAGTGGAATAACCCATCTGGAATATAAATATATATGGTGTATATCTGGAGCCATCTGATTAAAATGTTTCTTAAACCCTGAAAAGAAGGCACTCAGGAATGGCTGCCTGACAAACAAGGCCAGGAAAGATCTGCACTCCTGCTTGTGGCTGACCACAGGCTGACCATACCTGCACTTGCTGTGTTAATACATCAGGACAACTTGGGCATCACTGCTGCTGTAAGATTAATCTTTCTTACCACCAATAATAAAAAGGCCTTGCTCATTTTTAAACAATGATTTTTCATATTCAAAAATTAGTGGTGCTTAGCCAGCTCGTGAGAATTCACCCTTTAGTTAAAGGCTAGCATCATGTGAAGTTGTATTGCTAAATAAAAGAAGAAAGTTTAAAAAACTTATTATAACTACTTCAAGACAGCTATTTTACAGAAAGGATTTGGTCTTTAAACTGATAAGATTAAGCCACCAAGTAAACAGATGATACCACGTTACTTTGCACTGAATTACAAATTCATCAGTGGCTAATTGCAATGATGTTTGTTTCCTTACCTCCTGTGTGCCTGCCTCCGGGTCTGTCATTCCAATCACAGAGAAATCCCCATATCTGTCTCCATTGGCATCAATGGACACCTGCCCTGCAATGCCTAAAGAATGGCATGTGAGGAATCAGAAGATTAATTAGTTAAAATACTGAACCTTTCCAAGCAAAACATGAAAACAGTGGACAGGTTTTTACAGACTGATATGACAGGAAATCTCATCAGTCTCCCTGCATTTTTGTTGGCATTCTGGAAGAAATTGTAATTTCATCTCAGTGTCTGCATTCCTGAATTCTTAACATTTCTCCTTTTTAAATATTAAACATGTGAGACTGGAGAATACGTGAGAAAAATCTAACCCAAAAACCAGCATGCAAGACTAAAACACAAATATATTAACGTGAATTATTTACAGAGAGTCTAATCCTGAAATATCTGATGATGCCTCAATAAGGAGAGCCCAGCTCATTTGCTGGAGAGGACACAGGGGCAGAGACCTAAATCCCACAGGCTGAAGGGGCTGCTGCACCCATACAGCCAGTTCCAACTAATGGGATACTGGAGATGGCATGGACAAGGGGCACCATGTGCACTACATATGCACTAAGCCCTGCATTCATCTACATAAGATTAACTACTTAATACGTGCAGTTTGGTTTGTATTCTTAGAGCCCCACTCCACTTTCCTGCTTTACAATTTCTAGAAAACTTTAGGGAAACTGGACTCATTGATTCATGGGATATCTCAAGTTTGAAGTGGCTTCAGGAGATCTTGAGCCCAACCTCCAGCTCAGAGCAGCATCAGCCAGGAGGATGCTCAAGGTTTTATCTGCTCTCCAAAATCTCCAAGGATGGAAACTGCACAGCCTCACTGGGACAACTTGTTTGATCCGTCATGGAAAATGAACACATCCTTGGATTCAATCTAAACCTCTTCTTTAAATGTATGTCCTTGTGTACAAAAAGCTTGGTTTCAAATTCTCGAGGTGTAAGTCAAACAGGTTCTTAAAATCCATCAAACAATACCAATTAACTATGGTGAAGACATCTTAAGACTGCTGATACACTTTTTGACCTCAGATATTCTCAAATGTGACCCTCCCCTGACTGACACCAAACACAGGCATTTACACCCATGTAAGGCAAACAGACGTCACTGTACATCCATGTTACACCAGCTACACGTCCAGACCAGGCACAAAGCCATGGACATTCAGGCTCTCAGTGAGAGTCAATCAGAAAAGAGAAGTCAGATATTCAGAGTATAAATTTCCCCCAGCGTGCCTGGTTATAGTGGGCGTGTAACAGACTTAACACACCTCCCTTTATTCTGTATCTGTTCAGATATATTGATGTTAGGAACATTTCAGCTTGCTGAGGTTTTCAAAATACATAGTAGCAATCAAAGATTATTGTCAAGCAGCTATTTCATGATAACAACACAGTAATCAAGCCACTGTCAATTCAATTACTGCAGGGAAATCCAATGGGTGTTACAACAATTTGGCTGTGAGACACTGAAAGAAGAGGCCACTCTGAAGAACCATGATGTCCCTGCTTACACATCAATTTGGATTCTGGATCTGACAGGAGGTGCTAATTGGAACAGACACTTTTGTGGCCTAAGAAAACCAAAACTCAGTTTCTGCGAATAGGTACTGAAATTGAAATTTGGAGTTCTTATTGGATTTTTTTTTCAGCAGGAAAGACTGTTTTGTCAATTTTTCATCTGAATCAAAACCAGGAATTTGAAAAGTTGACATTTCCTGCAATTTCCTTAAGAAACAGAGATACGAAATTTTGAAACAACCTTAATGAAGAATTGCATTTGCATGAATGTGGAATGATTTTATCTCAACTTTCTTTCTGCTTTTTTATGTGAGATACCTACATACGTACAAAAATTTGCTACTTTTTCAGAGGAAATGCCAATGAATAGCAAATATTCTCCACCAGATGTGCCCTGAAGTTATACCATGCTGTCTTTAACAACTCAATCACTAAGAAATCATTTGATCACCTCAGCCTTATCCATTCCTAAGCCCATAATGTCTGTGCAGCTGTGGCATGCAGATGGAATTCTGCAGGAAGCAGCATCTACATTCTGTTGGGAGTCCTGATAAGTCAGAGCAGTCTGTAAAATGAGGTGCCAAGACAATCAGATATCTGCATGTCAGAAGTTAAATTAATGCCATTAGTGAAACTGGAGTTCTCATTATCAAGGCTTACAAAGCTTCAGTCCTGCAGCAGAGCGTGATGGGTGTGCATGAACCACACTCTGTGATGCTGCATCCACTGCAAGGAGGGGTCACAGGCAGAATGAAGGGATGTGTCCCCTTAAGGGACTGGATTGCAACACGTTAATTAAAGAGTTAAAGGCCTCTTTCAAAATCAGTTTTATGTCCAGCAAAGTACTGCCACAGGGAGGAAAAGGCATATGACTTACAAGAATTTTGACCAACTGCACCCCCACAGCCCAACTCAGCTACGTTTTCAGAAGAGGTAGAACAGGTCAGCCACCAGCAACAATCTGGTTTTCACAAGTGGGGAAAGAGAACATTTTTTCCTCCTGCCAGGTTTTACAAGCAAGGTGTGAGAATCAACCATGTAGCCCACGTGGAGCACGTGGTACTACAAAGCATGCATGGGCACACCAGATGATGTCCTCCTGGAGCACAGCAACAGGAGCAGAGAAAACACAGGCTGTGCTGGGGCATCTGCTCATGCACAGCACAAACAGAGGCAAATCCTTAGACACCAGATTTCCTCCCTTTTAAAACTGTTTTGGGGAGCCACAGATACGAGATATACTGAGATGCCAAGCATAAACTACAGATGGTGCAGGGCTGTTAATGAGATGATTGCAACCAGCATAATTTAAAGTAATTCCCTGCTTTAAAGTGCTTGAGTGCTCCCTTAAGCTGCCCTGAGTATTCTTTTGCCTTGTGTTCAGACCACAGCTTGAGAACAGAAAATTGGTTTGGAGCTGCTGGCCTTCTTGCCTTCCTACACTATGTCCAATGTGTTCTTAGAGCTCAGAACCTGGCCACTGTGGTTTTTCTTACACATTCAGATGAATCATTCGCTTTTTATCTAGGGGAAATGTTTCCTTCTCTCAGGCATTTCCACAGGAAATCTTGCCAGTCCTACATCAAATGATTGGACTATTATATGAGATGGATGGAAATATTTTGAAGAGATGGATGGAAATATTTTAAAGAGATGACAGATGAAAGCAGTAATCTTCAGTTTCTTTATTACAATTCTTACCTGGCAAAAGCATCTGCATTGCTTTGCACCAGCAAGGTGACAAACAAGTGCCAGTTGCACTGCAGAATTGCAGCCTCCAGGATTAGGCACAGTGCTGTTCAGCTGCTGCCTCTGAGACAACACACACAGCTCCCAAAAGGAGGCTGGGGGAAATCCTTCTAGGGCCCAAAGGAATCCCATTGAGAAAAACAAAATAACCCCAACTCTGGCACCTGCTTGCTTCTATCCATTCCCAGGCTTTCAAGATAAAAAAGTGAAATGGAAAAAATGAGGCAATCTCAGAGCTAATAGATGAATGTGAGCAAAGTGAGCAGCTGTAATCTTTTCAAAAACAAATAAGGAGCCTGAGAAAATTATTGGTATTTCTTTACAACATCACTGAGGGTCATTAAATTGCTAAGAGTTTTTTGAACTGAGTCAAGACCTCGACAGTTGGTGCAAAAAAAAGACAGACTGGTGATATGTGTGAGCCAGCCTGAAAGATGCACATGGTTTCATATGTTTGCTTTCCTCTCTGTTAGGAGTGGAATATGCATGGGTCCTTACTTTGCACAGAACAAAGACCTGAAGTTTTTTGACTCTGAAAGCTGCAATTCTATATTAACCCTTACCTTCGTATGTTCTGTTCCGTGTTTGTTGAACAATTTTTTCCCCATCTTTCTTACTGAAACCAATCTTCAGGACTTCCTGTAAAGCTAGAGCATAAAGAAGGATCGCATCATGGAATCCTTCCACAAACATGTTCACCTAAAAAAGAAAGAAGAAAAAAAAAAAACAATGGAAATTGACACATAACAAAATGTTTCTTTCCTAGGTAAAAACTAACCAAACTGACTAATTTGGAGAGTTACTTTCTCAGCTGCTGGAACAGAAAGGAATATATCTCAAAAAAACCTCAGGGGGACAACAGCAACTTCTGACCCATTTTTAAAAACAGTTAACCACTATCTGCCATTCTGGACATTCATAATGTTGTGTCTGAATAGCTCTGCAGATAGGGGAGAAATCTGCAGATCCCAGTTCCCATGCCCAGAGGCACAAATTCTGCACTTTACTATGTGAGATTCTGTCAGGTGCTGAGCACCCTTATCCCACAGCAGCAAGTATAACACCCTTCCTCTGTACAGGGGACTTAGCACCTCTCAGGACTGGGAAGTATTTTCTGTCATGATTTTTTTTGGAGAGCTCAACTGGTGCATTTGCTTGTTTAATGATTACCACTTCCATTTCTGGCTCTTGTTCAGCCAAGCATCTCTCCACTAGCAAATGAGCAATGGAGAAAACTACTTACCCTCTCCAGTAATGTGTTCTCTGGAACTGCCAGGAGAACTCTTTCTTGTCCTTTATAGTTTTCTCCATAAGTTATATGAAATGAATGAAATAACCCTAATAACCCTAACCCTGCTTTATAACCCTAACATAAAAGAAGATTGCTGCCAAAGAACCGTCATAGCCAACCTACAGTTTTTGGTCTGTGAGTTACAAAAACAGTTAACAGCTGAGTGCTGCAGAAACATTACGAGTTTGCTCTCAGGAGCCTGACGTGCTTCAATGGTGAAGCAATAATTACTTCAGGAGTGGAGTCCAGATGGAGACCCACCACCAGAAGCTAATGCAGAATGACGGGAGCAGCACAGGTATTCCTCTTCTGTAGGCAGCAACTCACATTTCAGCAATGCAATCTACTCACTCAATGCAAAGCAATTCAGAAGGAATTATGTTTTCAGCTCCAAGAAAGATGTTCCCATCCACTCAGAGTTTCACTACAATAAAAAAACTCCTGACATCCTAGCAGAGGTGTCACCACATTATGGGGTCTCTTATTGCCACTTCCAGTGAACAACTCACCTCCACAAATATTCTCCTGGACAGAAGTCATATTTAGTTCATTTTACATTTTAGCGTATCTAAATTATTTAAAATGCCAGTAAATGAAGTGCTACTCTCACAGGTTTCGCTGGACATTAAAAATGTTACAAAACAAGACATGTAGCCAGTTAACTAAATAACTGCTCCACAGATAAAAAGTATTACATAGTTGACTGGCTAAGCTGAACTAATCAAACTCTGATAATGTAATTACATCCAAGACATTCCTTCACTCTTAAAGCAGTTGCCAACAGTAAGGAGAGTTTTGGAATTATTTACTGATAATATATAAAAGTTTACATTGCTCTGACATTTAAAACTGGACTTTCAGAAACTCTAACCTACGCTGCAGTTGAATGCATCACATTAATCGGGGGGAAGAGCCCATGGTGCTACAGGAGATGCAGAACAGCTCAGCTCCTCCCGACAGCCACAGAGCAAAGAGCAGCTGCAGTTATTCTGAAGTAACGACAAAGCCTGAAAGGAGGGGAAAGTCAGGCTTTTGGTGGAATAATAAAAGCTGATGGACAGAGTGCATACTAGGACAGGCTTTGCCAGCAGGGGCTTTAACTTTTCAGAATTGAAAAAAACCCAACCAAACCAAGAAACCACAAATCTCGACAACTGCTTCATGTGCCAGCGTTAGAGTCCAAGTGGCCTGTGGATGATCAAACTTCAGCTTTCTTAATGTGACATTCTTTCTCTCAGGAGAGAAATTAGACTCTCCAGTAGCTATACCTCCCTGCTGGCTGATTTACAGTTTGTGACTGGCATTTGTTTCAAGGAAAGCTATTTGTCACTTCTTTTGTCCATGGCAAAGACCTCTCAATGTAACACAGCAATCTTCAAAATCCATTCAGTCAGCTAATTTGCTCAACCTGAAATCTACTCATGCCACGGGTCTGAAAACCCTTCTGTAGACACTTCTGCAGATTTGCCAGATAAGCCCTGTCAAAACTCACTTGGCAGTTTGGGAGGTTACTGCCACAGCCTCTTGCCAAAGCTCCACTTGGCCAAAACCCCTTACGTTACAAGTGAAAAACCACATTAGAGAATTGTCAGAAAGTCATTTATGTCACACATACCCCAGCATTTTATCTCATGTTGTCAAGGAGGCTGAAACTATGGATAATTTATGCCGTTTAAAATCTTCTGAAAGAGCTGGAATTACCGTTTGCAGATGGGATTGCACTTACACTCCCTAGCCAAACCATATGCTGGGCACACCTGAGACTTTTCACATTAATCCAGGAACACGTTTAAGCAGCAGTTTTTGAAAGGATCCCATGAAAGGAATAAAGTTTTCTTGCATATCATCTTGTTCAATCATTTGTAAGTTGCCACAATTCCACACAGACCATGGGTTGTATGATATGTAGGACAGAGGAATATTAAAACGTGAAGTAACAGCTGCAAAAAATTGTGAAGGGTTTGTTCTTTGCTGCAGGAAAAGCATTAGAAAGGGCTAGACTATAAAGTTTATACTCCAGGAAAACTTCAAATAGGAATGAGAGTAACTGTGAAGATGTCTTCACAGGCTGCTTGAAGGTGTCCATGGTAATTAATAACATGTTAGTTCAACCTCAGACACCCTAAGGATAAAAACTGAACAGAGTATAAAATCTATTAAGGGCCCAGTAATCTTACAGGTAATTTAAAGTTCTTTCAGTTGCGCTCTAATACAAAGCAGAGTCTTTTTATTGTAGTTTTTTCCATTTAGTCTGCCTTTTAATTACAGGTGTGAGTAGAGCTCCAAATGCTGTGATCACAATTTTCATGTCAGATCTACTGAAATGTTGCTGTCCCTGGCCCATACTGCAGGGCCACCCCCTCAACGTGGCAGCAATGCCACTGGCAGCAGAGAAGGTGACAGGTTTGCTGAACATCTTTGGAGGCTGTGGTACAAATATGTGCAAACCTCTTTCTGAGCTGTCTTCTGGATTATTTTTACATCCCATTCTAATACCAAACACCTAAAACTGCATAGCTGAACAAGATATATACCCCTTTTAACTTTCTGCCTTTTTACTCTAATTAATCATCTCCTATCAGAGAAAAGAAAACAACTAAAACCCAACAACCCCTCTCAGTGGAAATCACATGCATAAATTCTACCCAGTTCAAAGTTATAGTTCCCCAAGCAGCCATATCGTGACCACACTGTTCATATATACCAAGGTGTTAACAGCACACACAGCAATGCAAAATACTACCGATGTGGAAGACAGCCAAGATACAGCTATGCAGGACCCATAATTTTCCATATCCTGCCTCCTGACTGTAAAATAAGATTATTCTCCTCCATCTGGAACTGCCCAGCTCTGAATCACAGTAATTACAGAAACTCGTACCACTTCCATGCTTAGTGGGGAGAATCATCATCATCATTTTTTTTCTATTCAAAAGGGAAACAACATCTCCCACACTTGGTCTCTGTATCTACTTTCTACGTCCATAGTGATATTCAAGTTGTCAAACCATAGTTTCAGCCCCAACCAGTGAGGACCCTAGGAACTGCAGAGGACTGTACCCAGACATTTTTCAAAAATCTTACCAATTCAGGTATTTGACAGGATGCTCCTACTATCTCACTCTGTTAGTGTATCTCCATGGAAGTATTTTTCTAAGCACTTGCAATTTAAATGTCAGATCTCCTCCTTTAATCCTCCTTCACCAAGCCAATTATAATTATGGTCCCTTCTTTATGTGCCTAAGAAGCCTAAGAACTAACTTCTCTTACATGCATTCTTGGCACATACCTTCAGTTGTCTTCTGCTGAATCACTATCCAGCACTATTCACTGAACTCTACAGCAAGGATTTTTTTCTTTAATACCATTTGTTGATGTTGCATATTCCCATTCAGAATATTGCCACAGCCCATGCTGCTCTAAGTACTTATTTATGGTCCTGAGATGGTCAGGGGCCTTCAGCAGTTCTTTGATGAGTTGCTATGACCTTGCTGTGAGCTGCACAAATCTAGAACAAGGTACTCATGATTCCCATACAATAGATGATCAACATTTAGAAAAGATTCATGTTTAATTTTTTAAGATAAAAATGTTATTATTACAAATTGATTTTGTGTTAAACTTCTAGTTTACATAATCCCAGTGAGAAACTCTGGGTGGAACTGAGATGTAGATTGAGAACATGAAGCTGAGGGAAGAATATTCTTACACATGATCATTACTTAAGATAAGGTGAAGTGCATTTCAAACCAGCAATGCCATGTGCAGTTACAGCTTTGCAGTGATGTATTAGTCCTACTGCCATAATACTACCATGTATCATTCTGCATACTACCACCCTAACAGGATTATCAAAGTTTTCACTAGCCCACCATCCATCTCCTCAGACCCTCACAGGATTTCTTCATTCCATTATGCAACAGAAACTGACAGAGCTCCTGAACATCACCTATGGATAACAGCTGGGTCATGCTAACATGCACTGGGACTGGGATTTTAAGGACTCCCAAGCACAACAAATGCAAAGCCATGGGATATACTCATAGTCAGCTGTCATAAACAGCATGTCTTGGGGTGCCTACAGATAGGGATGCATCTCTGTGAAACCAAGGCAGGAACTGGAAAAGAGAATAAAGCTGTAAGTTAATCAAATTTCTACGTTTAGATACCCAAGACTAAAAATACTGTTTCCTTGGGCAACCATACTGCTCCCACACTGGACCACAGTGCTTCAACCAAACTGCAAGAAAAAGGAAAAAAGGAATGGAATGGAATGGAATGGAATGGAATGGAATGGAATGGAATGGAATGGAATGGAATGGAATGGAATATGCTTTCTTCAGAGAAGGCCATTTCCACAATATTTAATTCAAAACTGAAAAAAAAATATATGGCATTACACCAAATT